TTGGAGCGGGCGGTCCTGATGATAAAGTCGTCGGCCTTGGACAGCTTGTCGAGGACCGCCTGTCCGGCGGCGTTGGGCAGGCCGCTCGACGCCTTGAGGCTCTCGCCGGGCGCGGGAGCGTGCGCATGGCCTGCCCGCGGGCGGACGGGCGCGGCGCGGCAGGCGATCTTGCAGGCGTCCTCCATCGCGGAGCCGTCGCGCTCGTAGACGAGCGAGGCGCAGCAGAAGAGCATCTTGGCCAGCTCGAGGTCAAAGGTGCGCGCGCTGCTGGTCGAGGGCTGCGAAAACTCCTCGAGGGGCCGGTTCATGACCTGGAAGGCGGCGTCGCGCGTGCGGCGGTCGAGGCTGTCAAAGATCTGCGGGTAGGCCAGGTTGCCCAGCCCGACGCCGCCGTTGCGCTCGCTGACGCGTCGGAAGACGGCCTGGACGGCGCCGAGGCGCCACACGGCGCTGATGACGAGCATCGCGCTCAGGATGACGGTGGAGCCGCCGGCAAAGAGGAGCACGCTGGCGGCCCCCAAGGGGTCGAGGATGTAGTTGGGCAGGCTGGTGGCGACGCCGAACCAGGTGATGCGGAGCCAGGTGACAAAGTAGGCGAGGTCGCTGAACAGACGCTGCAGCCAGCCCTGGATGCCCGTGCCCTGGCGGGCGACCGAGGGCATGTCGTCGAGGTGCATGAGGTCGACGCGGCGCATGAGCGCCTTGTTGTCGTCGTCGTCCGCGTCGAGGCCGGCCATCTTGGTCGTCGACGGGGTGGGAGCGGTCTCGGCGGGCGAAGGGGGCGAGGCCATGACCAGCCGTCGGTGGTGGTCAAGAGGCAAGCAGAGAAAGGGCGAGCGACGAGCCGAGGGGCAGCGGAAGACTGTGGCAGGCCCCGCTCGGCAGGGACGGAGCGGCACGTTGCCAGGCAGGCAGGGATCGATGCGAGCAGCGGAGGATGTGGAGCAAGGGGCGCAGGGGTGCGAGGCGGGGCGCGGCGAGGATGGGGGGCGGACCGGGGTCGGGATAGAGAGCAAGGTCGGACCCCCGGGGCCACCTCCGACGTCGGTATATATGGAAGTCTGCTCAGCAAGCCCGCCATGCCCCCTCGAGCAGGGCAGAGTGACGGCCGTCGAGGGGCGACCAGGCCCGCCAGCCGCCCGGCAGTTCCAAAGCCTTCGACGTCGGCGGCGATGCGTACCGTGGCCTACCTAGCCATCGTCGCGGGCATCGTCTCGATGAATCAGGCCGAGCTGGGCCGTCGGGAGCGTCCGAAGCTCGCCTTGCTTGGCCGAGCCAGTCGGTATCCTGGAGGCCTGTTGGCCTAGCCTGGCCTGGCTAAGCTTGGTCGCGACAACGCGCCGTGAGCGCTGTTCGCACCCTTACGGACGCGACTCAGCCGTGGCCTGCCGTCGTCGGCGTGAAGCGACCGCCGTGGCCTGTCTCTCCGGCTGCTGCACCGAAGCTGGAGCGCGACGATGCCGGCTTGCTTGCCTCGCCGCGTCCGGGCGAGCCGCAGCGATCGAACTCATGCCAAGCTTGGCAGGCCACCCTAGCCTTAACCTAGTTGGTTAGCCCGAGGGCCATCGGCCCACTTCCGCGCTGGATGCATACGTGTGTCAAAGAGGGCCGTGGCGGTGTGAAGATGCCTCGAGGAGATGACATCGAGCAGTTGCTGGCCTCCTTGGCCGGTCCTCGCTATGCCGCCGACGCAGGAGCAGGCTAGGGCGGCAATGGCGAGCTGCTGCCATGGCACGCACCGCCACAAGGGGCCAAGGGGGCACACACTACGCACGACGTTCCGGGCACGTCCCCCAAGCTTCGGCCAGAGCCGACCACTGAGAGCCACCCTCCGCTAAGGTGCAGGGTCAGGAGGCACGAGGGCCAAACGTCGGCCTGATCCGGCCACTGCTCGCAGCCGCAGCCACGGCGCGCCTGGCTCTCGGCATCGCCCCGAGCAGACATACGGTCGTGCTCTGGCGGGGCGGAAGGGGTCATCTCCAGCTCAGCCTGGTTGCACGCACTGCCTTGGCTGTTCGCTCCCTCCGAAGGCGAGCATGAAAGGCTAGGCCAAGGCGTGGCAAGGGTCATGCAACGAGGCGAGGGCCGGGGTGGGGGTGCGTCGCTCGGCTCAGCCGCACGGTCGAGCCGGACCGCGGGTGAGATGGGGGGAGAGCGGTGCTTCGCCGGTCTCGAGGTCATGGCAGCGAGCGCATGGCGGACAGGCGCAAGACCGCTACCAGCTGCTTCGGCTCCCGCGGCACAGCGCCATCGTCGAGGGGCGCAAGACGTGGAGCGAGCACGGACAGCACAGGCGGCGGCGGTCATTGGCGGGCGGGCAGCGGCGGCGGGATATATTGCAAACAGCACCAAGGCGCTGCTCGCGAGCAGACAGGAGGGGGAGGCGGCCTCAGTTGAGGATCTGGAGGACGGGCGACGGGCGAAGGAAGCGGTGCTGGCAATGTCAGTCGTCCGCACGCATTACCGGGACTCGACCCCGCGCGCCAGGCGGCAGCACTCACGGCAAGCAGGACAACGGCGACGACGAAGCCGACGATGAGCAACAGGCAGGCGGCGCGGCGGCCCGCCTTGCGCTGGTACTCGTGCGCCACGACGAGCTCGCGGTCGGCGCCCTCGGTATTGTCGGCAATCGTGGTGATGTTGAACTCGATGTTGTCAATCATGCCGCCCTGCTCCTGGACAATGTTGCCTAGGTCGCGAAAGATTTCGTTGAGCTCCTGGACGCCCGACTCGATTTCGCGGATCTCGGCCTCGCGCGAGGCGATGAGCGACTCTTGGAACTCGAGGTCGGCCTGCGATGGGCCTTGGATCAGGTCGAGCTGCTGCGCCTGCTGCTGGCCCGCCGCGGCGGCGGCCGAGTCGAGCTCGACGAGGGGTGCGCCGTGCTGGTCGTCGTCGTCGGCCGCGTCTTCGTCTGCGAGCGCTGCCTTGGATGCGGCCTGGCTCCTTCGCTGCTGCTTGTCGCGCTGGCGTTCTCCCTCGAGAGCCTCTCTTGTCCGCTGCACGCTCTCGCGCTGGGCGCGCTGAAACGAGAGGGCGACGGCCTGGAAGTCTCGCTGCAGCTTTGCCTGGGTGAGCTTTGCGGGCGAGGTGCGTGACCGGGCGTCGGATGCGGGGAGGGGAAAGGTCGAGAGGGTCTTGATGTCGGCGGTGCCGTCCTTGATGAGGTCGCGCGTCGTCTCGGTCAGGTCGTGGCTGCGGAGCGCGGGGAGTAGGCAAAGGGGCAGGCGGTCAGAGCGCGCAAGCTCGCAGTGGCACGCTGGCGGTCCGTCGCGCCGGGCTGTACGGGGCGGCGCTGTGCTCACATGCGCTTTGTGAAGTCGTGGTTGTGGGCGTTTGGCTTTGCCGGCGAGGCCGAGGGCGGGTTGGCGAGGAGGGAGACGAGTTTCTGGATGGCGGTGACGTTGGACTGGATCTTGAAGATCTGGATACCGATGCGCTTTGCCAGGCGCTCAAATTCGGGGTCTGGCGGATGCGACGCTGCGGAGGATGACGACGAGGATGCGCCGGCGGCTGCGGTGTCGGACGGGTAGTCGCGGTAGAGGGGGAGCGGGGTGTTGCGGTTGTTGGACGAGCCCCTGGCCGACGAGCCTCGTTCGAGGTCGTTGAACGACATGGTGGCGGGTAGAGAGCGCGGGTGTGCAGACAAGGGTGCTGAGATTGCGATGCGTCGGATGGCGGTGGCGGCGACGGTGGCGGCGACGGTGGCGGTGACGATGTGGTGGTGACGATGGCGGTGGTGGGTGAAGGGTGACCTCCCGCGGCGCCTGGCCCGTGTGGAGTTGAGGGCATGGCAGGCCAGGCGGGGGTCGAAACTCGTGCGCACGGCTGGGGCCTTGCTTGGTGGCCTGTCGTTTGGGCCCCGCCCTGAGGCTGGGTCAGGGCCCCGAGCCAGTAGGTCCCATGCCAGGCTGCCCCGCCCGACTTCCGAAGCCCGGCTTTCTGGACGGTTTTTTGCGCTGCTGCTGCTGCCGGTGGCTTCCTGTTCCTTCTTGTCCTCCCGCCTTCAACCTTGACCTCTGCCTCTTGACCTCTCGCACCGCATCGCACCGCCATCCTTATACCCGGTCCAACACAGCCCATCACGGTCTCCACTGGCTCTGCTCCCCACTTTTCGACCATGGACTTCACCCTCTCGGGCGCGCAAAAGGCGCCGCCTCTCCGCGCCGCCCCCTCGCTCGACGGCTTCTCGCCACGCCGCTGCCGCCACGCCCAGCCCATCCCCTCGGCCACGCCCGGCACCTCGACGGATCCACCCTACCTCGTACACCTCGCATCCCTCTCCACGCCAAACCCGTCTCTGCTCGCCGTATCGCACCCCTCGCTCCTCACCCTCGTCGACAAGGCCACCCACAGCGTGCTCCACCACGCCAGCCTCGCAGACGCCCACCGCATCACACAGCTGCACGCCCTCACCCCGGGCGGCCTCGGCTCCACCTTTATCGCCTCCAGCACAGCCGGGACCGTCTCGTCATTTGACGTCCGCTCACCCTCGGCCCTCACCCAGCCCACCCTCGTGCTGCGCGGTCCAAGGGGCGCGCCCTACCACAGCGTCGCCGCTTCCCCGCACGCCACCAACCCGCACCTCGTAGCCGCGGGCACCGAGCTCGTCGGCGTCGATGCCCACGTCGACATCTACGACGTGCGCAGCCCCGCCGCACCCCTCTTCCGCTACACCGAGTCGCACTCGGACGACGTCACCTCGCTCCGCTTCCACCCTTCGCCCCACCACGCCGACATCCTCGTCACCGGTAGCACAGACGGCCTCGTGTGCGCGATAGACACCACCGTCGACAACGAGGACGACGCCGTCATCGCCGTCGGCAACACGGCCAGCAGCGTCGCCCGCTCCGGCTGGGGAGGCGGAGGAAGCCAGGTGTGGGGCAAGCCAGCAGCGACGGCGCAGGCCGACGTCGACATGACGGCCGACGTCGACGACGACGACGACCTCAACCAGCAAGAGGCCGATGCGCGGCGCAAGGGCCTCGGCTCGGTATGGGCCGTCGGCGACATGCAGACGCTCAGCGTGTGGGACGCCGACAAGGTGAGTCCGCCGGCAGGTGCCCCGGCAGCGTTCGCGATGCGATCGCAGGCTTCCCCTCCTTACCGCTCTTCTTCCTTTCTCCCTCCTTCTCCCTCCGCCCAGTTTGATCCGCTCCTCGACCCGGTCGACGTGCGCTCCTCGACGTGCCTGCGCCCGGCGTGGACGACCGACTACATCATCGACGCGCACTGCACCTCGCACCTCGCGTCGTCCGCCTCGTCGGCGACGGGGGGCGTGACGCTCTACGTGGGAACGACGGAGGGCTCGTTCTCCATCCTCACGGCGTCGCCGGAAGGAGCGGGCGGGTGGAGGATGGAGGCCCTCTTCCCACAGGCGGCCGCGGGTGCCGTCGGAGCGGCCGCGGGCGGGCACAGCGACATTGTGCGCTGCGTCGACTACGACCCGGCCTCGCGCATCCTCTACTCGGGCGGCGAGGACGGGCGGCTGTGCATGTGGCGCCTCGCGGGCGCCGACGACGACGGCGGCGACGAGGCCGATGGCGCGGCGACCCAGATCCGGCAGTCGATGGGCGGCGCTGCAATGGACCAGGCTCCGGCGGCGGGGACCGCGGCGTTCCTGGGCGCGATCCGGGCAGGAGGGGGGCGCGGGATGTCGGAATCGAGCGGCGGCGCGAGGGGCGGCGCGAGGTCAGAGTCGGCGCACACGGGGCGCAGCCAGAGGTGGAAGCCGTACGGCTGAATCGGAGAAGGAGCGGCGAGCATGTCGTGCGATAGACGAACGGACCCGCTCGAGGGCAAGGGGGACACGACACGTATGTGGTATTTGCCAGAACGCAAAGGAAGGAAGGTGACACTGGGGTGGTGGCGCAGACGAGACGAGACGAGACGAGACTGAAAGAGGTGTAGAGGCGAGACAGGGACAAACGGCCGAAGATGACTGGAGGAGTGGCGGTGGTGGAGCGGAAAAGAGGGTGGTGTGGCTGATGCGAGGCCTGGCAGAGGAGGCGAAAGGTGGAGCGGGGAACCTATCTGCCCGCCGAAAAGCGGGTCTGTGAGCTGCTCGCCGAGGCCTGTTGGACCTGCTGCCTCACGGCGTCCTGTGCGGGCGCGGCCACGTCGGTTGAAGGGGGACGCGGCGTGAGGTCCTGCAGACCGGCGGCCATGTTTTCCTCGCCCTTGACCCGTAGGACTGCAGGGAGCGGCCGGGATTGGGCGCAGAGGAGAGCCACGACGATGCGACGAGGCGGAAAGAGGGGGGGTGCCAAGACGACGTCAGATTTGCCCCCCCTGGGACCTTGCACGACCCAAGGCAGAGGGTAGAAACAGGCCAAACTCACACTCTTCGATGAGGTTGGCATTTCTCGAGTTGGCGCGCCAGGCCGCAAGCGCAATGTCTCCGACGATGGGCACGAGGCCGACGCCGGCCGATACGGCGTTGTTGAAGAGCAGTTGCCGCACGAGCCAGTCGGGGATGCTGACGGGCGGCGGGCGGGTGGGGGCGAACAGGCAAACGGCGAGAGCGGCAGGGAAGAGGAAAGAATGTCAATCGGGGATGTCGGTCAGCCCCCAAACCTCGACAGGATACGGCGGGACGACGCGCCACGCACTCGTCGATTTCGTTTTTGGCGGGCTTGACGACGAGGGTATAGTTGAGCAGGGCGGCGGTGATGTCACCGAGGCCGGGGACGATGCCGACGATGGCGGTCCAGCCGAAGCGGAATCCGCAGATGGTGAAGCCCTTGTCGAGGTGGTGGGCGCGCCGCTTGATCTTTTTGAGGGTGCGCGCCTGCTTCTTTGTCAGGCCCGGTGGCAGCGCGCGCTTGCGCCGCTTCTGCTTGCCGTTGACCGTGTAAAACTCGTACAGCGGGTCCTGTGCGTCGTTTCGTTGCGTCGGTAGGGATGACGATCAGCGGTCAGAGAGGAGGGGGAGGCACAGGGACGGGACAGAGCGGGACTCACTTCGGGCTCGTACCGCTTGGCATGGTCGCCTACCAGCCGCCGTGTGACTTTGCCCGCAATCTTGGAGGCCATCTCGGATCGTCGTGTATCGGTGCGGTGCAGTGCGGTGCTCGCAACGGCGTCAGTAGTGGTGGTGGTGGTGGTGGATGGTGGTGGATGCGATCACAGCCGAAGTGGAGTCGGATGGAAGACAGGAAGGGAAGGAGGGCAAGGTACGGATGGACGACGTGCCTTGGCTTGGCTTGCGTAGAGTCGGGTCGGGCTGTGAGGCTCGCAGGCAGGCATGTGAGTGAGTGAGTTGTGAGTGAGTGAGAGTCGAGGGCTGTGCTCTGCTGGAATCCACGCGGACCTGTCTGTGGTCATGACGCACCGACGGCATGCAAGGCCTGGCCTGCCCGCCTGGCCTGCTTGGTCGCAGCGGCCCGCCGGTCGCTCGTTCATGTGGAGGGTTCAGCACAGGGCCAGGCAGATGACAGAAGGACCTGTTGAAGCAGGACAAGAGGAGAATTGATGTTTTCAGGGCCCCCTTGGTGCACTCATGTCAACATTGACTTGTTGTAGAGTCAAGGCAGAGGGAGGATTCATGCAGCGAGTCATCAATCGCAAGCAGGCAACTCCAGCAGTAGGGTCACTCAACCTCTCTGTGTCTCTGTATGAGTCCCTGTTGTGCAGCCCCTGTTAGAGTAACAAAAGATGCACATCTTCAACAGCAAGGTCGTGGAGCTCTGCCTCAAGGACGAGGCCAAGAACAAGCCAGTGTTACTCTTCTCATCCCCTGGTGGCCTTGGTCCCCGTCTTGGCCCGCAAGAGGCCCTCGGCCCCATGGACGCAAACCGAATCACACAAAACATGCATGCATATGGGGATGTTATCGGCCTTACTGGGTCTGCTTACTGCTTCCAGCACGATGCAGGACACGTCTTTGGCGTCTTGTTCAGCTGCCGCTCGGCCGCGGTGATCCTCAACCACCAGCATGGCACCGAAAACGTCACAGAGCGGCACTACCTGGAAACAATCTTGCACCTGCCAGTTCTCAAGGATGCAGGCACACATCACTCTGCTCCTGCGTAGATGATGCACACAAGAGGTCAAAACACCACCACTGAGCTCAAGGTCAACAAGCAGGGTCCAGCTGAGCCCAACAAGGGACTGCTGCAGGGCTTGCAGCAGCTCGTGCATCAGTCCTTTGAACCCGTCGGGGTCAGTCAAGCAGAGCTGCGTGGAAGCACCAAGCCTTGCAGCAGGCTCTGTGCAACAAGCAGCGCGAGCGTCAACAGCAAGCTCGAAGGCCATCGTGAGCCCAACAACCAGCAAGCAGTCAAGCAGATGGCACGGCGAGCGAGACTCATCAGGCCTGACATGGACTTGAGTCACCGCTGTGACGGGCCCCATCTGCTGAGCCGGGCCTCATCTGCTGAGCCAGGCGGATGTGTCGCTTGCTCGAGGTTCCCACTTTTGTCGAGCTGCTGCGACGACGAGCAGGCAAGCAGAGTGGCCACCTTGCTCCGCCCTGTCTGGCGACACCATCGTGCTGTGCTGCGCACTCACGGGCGAGATCCACGCCTACTGAGGGCGGCATGGAAGTGCTGGTGTGAGCCACGGCCCACGCTCGCCAACGCTGGCTCGATACGCCACCATCGACGGCTCTGCGCGCTCGGATAGCCTAAATGCGCTCGTGACCATGCCATCGGTGGCGTCCGGAGACGATGCATCGCTGACGAGATCCTGTGACGACGTCGCAGATGGGCGGGCCGGCGACGTCGAGCTCGCGGTCCCCGTTTTGGCCGTTGGTCGACGTCGGGGATAGCACAACCGCCGGTCCCTGTCCCGTTACGCGAGAGCGAATGGACCGCATGGCCGTGGTCGAGAAGCACCCCCCATGGCACGCACCCATCGCCCACGACCGGTCTACGTGCGAGCAAGCTGAGCGAACGTCGCCGGAGCTCGAGAGACCGGCGAGGCCGAGGAGAGAGGCGGTGGCGAGCTTGCCGGTGCGACTCGCGTGGGCCGGCAATGTTCTGTGGGGGGCAAGGCAGGTTGCAGGCTCCCCATCCGAACCTCGGATAGAGAGGTCGGTATCGTGGCGGGGCCCTCCGTGGGGACGATGTCGACGTCGCCGCCGCGAGTGTCGGGTGTCGTCGAAGCAGACCGCCTGGCCGGGTCTCCTGTGCGACGAAAGAGCGAGACCGGCAACGTTACGGCAGGCGTTGCGGCAGGCGTTGCGGCAGGCGTTGCGGCAGGCGTTGCGGCAGGCGTCGTGGGGTAATGGCCACCGGTCCATACGACGTCCGGCCCTTGCTCGAGCGTCGAGGTGTCCCGTCCTCCTCGCCGGGCGAGCTCGCGACGTTAAAAGGAGGATCCCATGGACCCGCAGTGGTCCTCGACACCATCGCCCGTGAACACGACCCCCTCTTCTACCCCTGCCACACCCCTACCAACCCCCCTTTCCGTGATGCGCTTGACCTCGACGTTTGCGGCGCTGCTGGGCGCGACGCTGTGCTGCGCGGGCGTCTCGCTGGCTGGGCCGGTGGCGTCGCGCGACGAGCCGGTGGCGTTCCATATCAATTGCACGACGCGGTCGGAGCGGCCCGTGTTCAGCATCGCGCTCGACGACGGCATCCGGAGCACCGAGTACCACGAGTCGGTCATCAGCACGTTTGAGCGGCGCGGCCACGTCCCCATGTTCTTTGTCAATGGCGACTTTTTTGGGTGCATCCTGCCGTACCGCGACGAGATCCGGTCGACGCTGGAGCAGGGGCGGGCGCTGTACGGCTCGCACGGCTGGGCGCACCCGCACGCGCTCGAGATCCCGCTCGAGGAGTGGGAGCGCGACGTCGAGCTCCTCGAGCTGGCCTACGTCGCCATGGGCCTGGGCCGTCCGCGCGTCTACCGCTTCCCGTTCGGCGAGCACAACGACGAGCACCTCGTGCGGCTCCGGCAGCGCGGCTACGTCGCCGCCGTGCAGTGGAACCAAGACTCGCGGGACTGGGCGGGCCTCAGCAAGGCCGACGTCGAGGCCAAGCTGCTCGACGACTTTGCCGCGCCGGACCAGCCCAGGAACCTGCTCTGGCTCAACCACGAGGTGCAGGACCTCGACGCCAAAGAGGGCCTCCTCGACTGGGAGTTTGACCAGATGGCCCAGCAGGGCAAGGACTACGTCGATATTCGCCAGTGCATCGGCGTCCACGGGCCCCTGTTTGCCAAGCCCACCAGGAAGCAGCGCGAGCTGGCCAAGGTGAGTGGCGCCGCAGTGGCGCGGCAGTGGCTCGACCGGCGTGTCGCTCGAGGAGCAGCGCTGACCTCTGTCGTCGTTCGCGCATACGTCCTCTGTCCCGCCGCCGCAGCAACTCGACACCAACGACTGCAAGGCGTTTGCGGCCGCCTACGACCAGCTGCCAGGCCCGCGTGGCCGCAAGTCGCTCTGAGATAGGCTGCGATGTACCTAGGCGGAGAGCCCGGTGTGAAGCGATCAATACCCGGGAGTGGTGGCCAAGAGACGACCGTGCGTGGCGTGGGAGCACGGGCAGCGCTGCGTGAGCCGCGTTGTCGTTGTGGGCTGTGTCGTTCCAAGGAGCCCACGCCGGCGAGAGGCTCTTCGTCGACCAAGGAGCGGGACGCGGCTACATACCCCACGGCGGTCCCGCGCGAGATGACCGTCGTCAGATGGGCAGGTTGGCCGCGCCGACGCCCCCGAGTCGACGCAGCCTGCCCGCGCCACGGTGCCAGTTCAGGCTGGCCAGCCAACCGTGGCGCAGAGCGTCCGTCGGGCAGGTCGACGATGATGGCGGTCGGGAAGCAGCCGGTGGCCGCCAGGACGAGGCCGGGAAAGAGGCGTCGAAAATCCATCGAAAAAAAAAGCCGGGGCGGCTGGCTCGGCGCCAAAAGGGAATGCCCTCAACCTGGGTCGAACAGGTGACCTTGCGATTTGTTCCGACTCCAAGAGCCGAAGGCCATAACTGAGCACGCTTCAGTCGCACGCTCGTACCAGCTGAGCTATAAGGGCGCTTGATGTTCGGGGCCAAATTATACAATATATATAGTACAATACTTTTGACCCACTTCGACCCACTTCGGCCAGCAGTTTGGTCAGATCCAAGCGTCGATTTCACGGCACGGCCTGCCGGCTTGCATCGTTCGGGTAGAGCAGGGGGTCACGCCGAGCGACAAAGGCAAGGCGGCAAGGCAACGGCGAAAGCGACGACAGCGACGACGACAGCTACGACGACGACGATGGACAGACGGGCGGACGAGCGAACCGGCCGAGGAGGAGTCCGTCCAAGTCGCCGAGGGTGTGGAGGCGGCGGGCGACGGAGGGGCAGACGACCGGCTATCGTGTCTGGTTGACCGGGGCCGGTTGCTGCCTTCCTGGCCTCGTACGACCATCATCGGCCCCCTTCCATTGCTCTACCCTTGACCAAACCGACCGACGATGGCGACGTTCAGCAAGACGACGTTTGACGCGGCGTCGTACCTCGCCTTTCGACCGAGCTACCCGCGGTGGACATACACCAAGCTGCTCGCATACCACTTTGGTCGGCTGCCCAGTGCATCCTCGCCGCCGCCATCGCCACCGCCGGCGCCTTCGGCCGGCAGCTCGCCGACGGTAGCCCTCGACCTCGGATGCGGGCCGGGCATCTCGACGCTGGCGCTGCTGCCCCATTTCGACCGCGTCATCGGCCTCGACCCGTCCAAGAAGATGGTCGACGCCGCCATCCGCCCCGAGTCGTCGTCGATCCCCGCCGAACTCAGGTCCGACGCCAACGAGGGCGGACGCGGCAGGCTGGGCACGCTCGAGTACCGCCAGGGCACGGCCGAGGAGCTCGACTTTCTCCCCGAGCAGAGCGTCGACCTCATCGCGGCGGGACAGGTGAGTATCGGGCGGCGCAGCGACCGTGCCGCGTGGTGACCCGGCTGACGACCGTGGGCCCGCCGACTGCCCCTCGCCTCCTCTTGCGTGGACCACCGCAGGCTGCGCACTGGTTCAAGTACGACCGCCTGTGGCCTGCGCTCTCGCGCGTGCTCAAGCCCGGCGGCAGCGTGTGCTTCTGGGGATACCCAGACATGTACCTGCCCGACTACCCGTCGACGCGACCGGCAGTCCTCGAGTGGGCCGTGGGTCCGTCCTCGTCGCCCGGGGACGGCAGCGGCACCACCGCGGCCGAGTCCATCGGCCCGTACTGGGAGCAGCCGGGGCGCTCAATCATCAGCAACTGCTTCGCCGACATCCCCTTTCCGACGGCGCCCGAGTGGGACCAGGCCACGGCCATCCGCCGCGTCTTTTCGACCGAGGGCCTGCTGCCGGAGCAGATCCCCGCCCGCTGGCCGCCGCAGGCGTCGCCGGGCTCACCGCGTCCGGACACGGCGTCGCTGAGCGCCGAGGCGCGCGCCGAGCTCGAGACGCCGGGCAACCTGGAAAAGTCGATGACGTGGGAGATGATGTCGAGCTACCTGCACACGTGGTCCTCGGTGCACAACTTCCTCGAAGAGCATCCGGGCGACCGCGACGACCCGAGGGGCGACGTCGTGGAGCGCTTTCTCAGACGTCTCCGCGACGAGATCGGGCGCGGCGAGCGGGGCGGGCGGATCCCAGAGCGCGTCACGCTGCGGTGGCCGGTGGGCTTCCTGTTTGTCAAGAAGGCGGCTGCTGCGTGACGCTACTGTAGCTGATCGGTCCTCGCCCGCCAGGCACGGCATCTGTGCAAGACCATTGCCTGCCTTGGAGTCGCCTTGACATGAGATGCGTGCAGAGTGTGAGCCGGCGAAGGCGTAGACCGGCTGCGGCGGTCGAAATGCGGACTGCGTGGACGCGCTGAGCCCGTGTGCCGCCACCTGACCGGCCGCGATAGTATCGGCGGTCGCCTCTAGGCCCACGGGTATCGGGACCGAGGCTGCGTCGCTCCGTAGTCTGCCCTGCCCTGCTCTGCTCTACCCGTAGCAACGGCGGTCGGAAGGACGCCTGCCGATGGAACGTTGCTCGCGCCTTTGCGCGATCGCTCGCTCGTCGGTGCCGGTCTGGACGTCATTGTTGCGAACCAGGCTGGTCAGAGGAAGGCAGAGTCGACCGGCCGACCGGCAGGCAGGCAGGCAGGCAGGCAGGCAGTCCTGGCAGGGTCGAGGGTTTCGAGGTTCGGCGCAGCGACTGCCGGTCAGCTAGCTGGAGCAACCAGGCAAGGAGGGTAGAGACTGAGGCAGCCGCTGTCGTTGCGGTCTCAGTTGGCGGCGAGTAGCGCGCGCCCTGGCCGCCGGCATCTGCGATGATCTGTATGTTCCGCGCGTAGCTTGCTGCTTGGAACCAAGCAAGCAAATCGATTCTTGCCCTCGGCTGGGTCGGTAGCAGGCCAGGTCGCAGTTCCCGGCCTCGGATGATGGGCTAACTGATGAGCTCGACGGCCAGCCAGCCCTAGATCGCTTTACATTGGCCTTTTGTTTGTGGACAAACCGCAGCGGCGGCAGCGACCGACCAAGACGAGAGTCAAGACGCCGGATGGGAGGCGCTGCCAGGGTCGTGCGTGTCCTCGAGGTCGTGACGATGTGACCAGGCCAAGCGGAGCCTGCAGAGCGCGGATCCCTGGCCCTGGCCCTGGCCCCTTGCTTGGCTGGCCCAGCTTCCTTTCATGCTCCTGCTCGAGCCGGACGAGGCGAGGCAAGCCTGTAGCTCGACCACGAAGTAGCGCAGCAGCAGCGCAGCGTGCAGAGCGCAGGCGGAAGAGAGGGTCCAGGGTCATCACGTCGTCAGGAGCGGGGCAAGCAAGCAAGGATGACCGGCGGCCTAGACTCTCCAAACTTACCCTCGCGACTTGGGATCCATCTACTGTATGTACAGTAGGTTGGCGCGGTCAGCGTCAGGAGGTGGGTATGGCCGACAGTCGGGCCTGGCAAAGACGACCAGCATCCTGCAGCCAAATCCGCGCTCGAGCAACGAGGCAAGGAGAGAAGGGCCAGCTGGCCTAGCCCGCTGCTCTCGCCGTGGTGTGAAAGCGCTCAAACGAGGCCGGCCGACGAGCAGGTACAGTACGAGGGGGAGGCAGGCGGTCTGCGCCAAATGCCTAGGTCGCCAGGTCAAGCTGCCCTAGGCTAGGAGGGCAGGCCATGCCATGCCATGCCGAGCCATGACGGCGAGCGTGCGCGCGCGCGCCTTTGGCCGACGACCAAGCAAAGGACCGCCACCCAGCCTGGATGAGGGGCGGAGCAGACGAGAGGAGAGGCCCGCAGGCCGGCCGATGTCGCTCGCCCCGCTTTTTTCTCTGGCTGGCTGGCTGGCCTTGTGGGTGGCCTTTCTCGCTTTGGCCCTGGGAAGGGTGCAGGCAGACAGGCCGGCGCTCTTCCGCCCGCCTTTGCGCCTTTGCGCCGCCGTGCAGCCTGGCTGGTCTGGCAGGCCTGGCCTCGCTCTGGCAGGGCTTCCCGAAGACGGTTGAAGCCAGCGCCAGAGCCAACCCCGCTCTATCTGACCTGCCGCCTCTCCTCTGGACCTCCATCCATCGTCCGGCTCACGCCGCCTTCGCCGCCACCACTGTCTCCGTCATCGTCACCACCACCACCACCACCGCCTCTGCCCCTCGACCTCGCACGCCTTCTCGCCGCCCCTCCATGCTCGCCCCGACGCACTAACACTCTTGGCACAGGGCCGTGGGTCCCCACCCACGCCCTCCCCCCTTTCCGATCGGCTGTTGCATGGCCGTCGGCCCTCGGCCCCTCTGTCACCCTTCGCAGCCAGCTCACCCGATCGAAGCCCACTACTGGGCCCTCCACCGATTCACACCTGCCTCGTCCGGCGCTCCCTGGTCCTCGCCTGGCCCAACCGTGAACCCACAGTCGACTTTCCAGAAGAGCAGTTCCGGCTCGTCGCTCTCTCGCCCTACCGCTGCCTGTTCCGCTCCTCTTCGACTCGGATCGCCCCACGCCAGCGCGCAACGGCACCATTCTCCTGGCACCCTCTCTCGGCGCAGTGAGGGCTTTTCGCCCTCCTGCCACCTGAGCTCTCCTGATCCTCCGCGAGGGCTCAACCCGACAGTCTTGGCCGACCTCGATCAAACTCGACGCCCCTCGATCCACCCTCAGCACCGCCTCGTCCGCCCCCACGATGAACGCAGCTCAGCTCGACGCGGATTCGCAGCCGCCCTCGGAACCTCAGATGGACGACCAGGAACCGCCCGACGATACCAAGGGGCCGGTCTTTGGCCGGCCCGATCCCGCCTTTGCCTTTGGCGACCTCCAGGACGCTGCAAAGCTCTTCCTCACCGCACAGCAGAGCTCATCGGCGGCAGACCTGAGCGCCACCCTCGACCACCAGTCGCAGGCACCTGGCACCGGCGTGCGCGCCCCCGCCGCTGCCGCCGCTGCCGCCCCTGTCGCCCCTGGCCTGCCCCGCAAGGCATCGGACGGCACCGCCACCCGCTCCCACAAGCACAAGTGGTCGCAGGAAGAGACCCAGGCGCTCGTCGACGGCTGCAACAAGCACGGCGTGGGCAACTGGAAAAAGATCCTCTCGGACCCCGAGCTCAGCGGCCAGTTTTCCGATCGCACCGCCGGCGACCTCAAGGACCGCTTCCGCACCTACTTTCCCGACACCTACCACGAGCTCTACCCCAACGCCAAGACCCACCTCAGCAAGGCGGTCCGGGGAAAGGACGCCGAGGGCAAGAGCATCTTTGAAAAGGGCAAGACCAAGGAGCGGCGTCCCTTTTCGGCCGACGAGGACGCCGCGCTCAAGCGGGGCTACCTCGAGCACGGCTCCCACTGGGCGTTGATTGCCAAGGACGCCGTTTTCCAGAACCAGCGCCGCGCCATCGACCTCCGCGACCGCTTCCGCAACGCCTTTCCCGAGGACTACGAGCGGGCCGGCTTCAAGCCCAGGCTCGCGCGGTGCAAAAAGGACCGCGTGGCGGCGGCAGCAGCCGCAGCCAAGGCCGACGATGACCCGGCCACGGGCCCTCGCTCGACGACGCTGCCCTTTGCTTTCGAGGCCGGCGCCGTGTCGGACGGCATGCACGCCGAGTACGGCATGAGCGACGCCAGCGACGGCCACCTGACAGACCACGGCAGCCTGACCGATGGCAACGAGAGCGGCCTCCTGCTGGGCCGACCCACCCGCGAGGCTGGCGCCGGCGCCGGGGCCTTTCTGGGGCGCTCCAATTCGCTCGGCGCCGCCTTCCGGGCCCCGCGATCGAAGCTGCAGCAGAGTACCTCGAGCACCGACGACGTCGAGTCGGAACCGCCTCTGCCACACAGGCCCCAGCTCGTGTCGGCCAACACCCTGCCGCTTTCCGCCAGCATCGCCGATCCGCACCGATCGCTCGGCGGCTTGTTTGAGCAGCTCCGGGCGACGAGCATCAACAGCACGGCCAGCCACTCGACTGCGAGCAGCGTCCACGGCGGCCGCAACACGTCGCCGAGCGAGAGCGAGGGTGCGGTGCCCGGTCACGGCAAGGCCGCGTCCGCCGAAGAGTCGAGCCGGTGCCATGCCGGAAAGCCAAAGGACGCCACGTCTCACAAGCGCCGCAGCCACAGCACCCGGACCGGCAAGAGCTCCGCCCTCGAGCGCATGCCTTCCTTGCACGGGCACGCCTTGCACGGGCACGGGCACGGACACGGCCACAGCCATGCACACGGCGCCGCCGCGCACCACGGCCATGGCCCGGGATCGACCGCTTCTCGAGCGTCCAGCGCCCTCGGCACGACTGAACGCCCGCACCTGCCGCACATGGCCAGCAACGAGAGCTCGTGCAGCGAGGCGAGCTGGGCGGGCTACGACGTCGCCTCGTCGACGTTTGCACGGTCCGAAAGCGAGGCCAGCAACTCGCACGACGTCGCCATGGACGTCGACGAGCCCATCTCGATCGACGGCAGCCTCTGGCCCGGCCAGCACTCGGCGACGAGCGACATCTCCGCCGCAAGCCTCAACACGCCGCGCTCCTCGATCTACAGCCAGATCGACTACCCCAATCTGCAGATGTGGAGCAACGACGTGGCCGGACAAACCGCCCAGGCGGGCGTTGTGCAGCACGGCGATCAGACCAAGGTCCACCACGACGGCAGCGTCGGTGGTAGGATGTCCGAGATCCCACCGAACCACAGCGTCCAAGGACCGCCGGCGAGGATCTTCGCAGCGCAGCAGGCCGCCGATCATGACAGATCCAGGCCCGCCTTGCCAGCATCGCAGGGTGGCGCTGGCGACGGCCCGGAGCAGCGAACCGAGCTCGGAAGCCTCAGCGCACCCAACGGCCCGGTCACCGCTTCGCGCAGCGTGTGGTCCTCGGCCATGGATGCTTTCCTGGATCCCCTGCAGGATCTCCTGGATCCGCTCGGGCCATCTCCGGGCGGCGGCGGCGGCGGCGGCAACGGCTGGCTCAACGGCTGGAGCTTCAACGCCAACGAGCCGGCGCGCGGCATCGACGAGACGCCAGGCATCCTCTCGTCGACGCCGCTCTCGCACCACAAATGGGCCGGCGACCTGCACCTGCGCAATTACTCGGTGGCCAACCTCAACGCGCTGTTTGACTCGATGCCCGACTTTGACGGCGGGGCCAACCTGCCCGCAGACATTAGCAGCGGACAGCAGAGCGCGGCCAGCAGCCATCACAGCCGCAGCGCCAGCGTCCTCGACGACGCGTCGGCTGCCTCGGCCCCCGGCGACCGGCCAGAGGGCTCGGCTGACCTGGAGCGAGGGCGCATGATGTCGCTCGAGCCCCAGGAGCGCGCCTTGCACTCTGCCAGCGCGTCCTGGTCGCCCGCGCGGCGTCGCCCCCTCGACCACGGCCCTGCTGCCACCAACCCCTGCCCCACGCCGCCTGTGATCGGCGCCGGCCTGCACGGAGCGACTCGCCGGCTGAGCGATCCTGCCGCCAAGAGCGTACAGGAGCTCCTCGAGGCCGCCTCGTTCAGCCTCGATGCCTCGCTCGGCCTCGACTCTGCGCCCTACTTTCCTGCGCTGGCAGAGTCGTCGTTTGGCCTGCGTCGCAAGCGCTCCAACGATACGCTGCGCAACACGGACGGCGTCATCGGCGACGACGGCGGGGCCGGCCAGATGCCCTCTACGATGGTGGGACCGACGGATGGAGCGCCTGCAATGCGGCCGCCGCCGCTGCCGCCGTTCAACGCCGAGCGCCGCAACTCGGTGCCGGCGATGGCCATGCTGGGCCAGGGCACGGTCGGCGGGGCCGTCGGCGAAGCGCAGAGCCTCTCGGGTACCGCCGGAGCCTACGATGGGTCGCTGTCGATCCTTGAGCAGCTCGGCCTGCCGGCGACGGCGATCGACTCGAGCTATGCGGCGTCGCTTCCCGACGTCTCCGGTGCGCCGGCACACGTCCGCGACATTCGGCCGGCCTCGCAGCAGCAGCACCATCACCAGCAGCAGCAGCACCATCAGCCTACGCAGCTGTCGCAGGCGCAGGCGCAGCCGCAGCAGACCTACTCGTACGACGACATTGACCTGGCGGCGCTGGCGGACCTGGACCGCTCGCCGGCGAGGCTGTACGCCGAGGCGCAGGAAATCTTCAACCAGCTCGGCCAGCTGTCGATGCCGTGGTCGACGTCGGGCCTGGACGCCGCGGGCGGGCGTCCTGCGCAGGGCCAGTCCCACCAGCAGGCGACGACCGACTCGAGCTCGTCTGGACAGCCTGCGACGGCAGCGTCGGATCGAGGGGTGTCGTTTGAGCCGGCCGGCCTGGACCTTCTCGGCGGCGGCGGCGGCGGTCGTCACGACGGCGGGCACGGCAGCCACGGGGCGGCGCAGTTGCCCGCCATGATGGCGACGTCGCCGGCCGTGGCGCGGTCGGCCAGCGTGAGCCACGTGGAGCAGCGGCCGCAGGTGGTTCGAGGACTGCTGTCGCAGGACGCGGCGAGCACGACGATTACGGCGCCGACGCTGCTGGGCGCTCCCTCGGGCTCGATGGCGAGCACGACGGCGTCGCTGTGGGCGTCGAGCGGATCGCTGGACCGGCTCGAGCATCTGTACCTCGAAGGGCTGCACTCGAGCCCGTCGCTGGCGGCAGCGAGCCCGGTGGGCAGTGGGCCGCACGCCGCCAACAACGCCGGCGGCGCCCATCGCCCGGGCTGGATGCTGTCGGGCGCCAACGAGCTGGGCTCGGGCTACCTGAGCGAGTGAGAGACAGAGGCTCGCCCGTCGTCGCTCTCGTTGTGTTTTGCACGTTGTGCCGTTGGTGTCTCCGATGTCTTCACGTCCCGTCTCGTCTCATCCCGTCCCTCCTCACCCCCATCCCATGCCGCCCGGCCCCGCTCCCGGCCTTGGCCTGTCGTTTGCTTGCCTTTGTGCCTGTTTGCCTTGCCTCGTTGCCTTTACCCCCCATGCTCGCCGACGATGGCGGACAGGAACTGTACCAGTAGCCCGACCCGACCCGACTCGACGCGACCCGACCCTTCTAGAGTAGGTAGTAAGTGAATTGAATCTCGACCTGATCCCCGCGTGTGAACCTGTACCGGCGTCGTCGAGAGCGACCTCGGTGCGCCCTCATCGATGCCGCGTTGAGGAGGAGCGCCGGTCGTCTATTTTCGGCCTGCCCTGCCCTGCCCTGCACTTCCATAAACCCCACCTCTCGGGGACCTCCACCCCCACTCCCACCCCAATCACCCAGACACCAATCTTCCAGCTCCTCCAAAGTGGCCCCAAAAATTATCAAATTCTCTCAAACTGACCTGTAAGAAAATCCTCGGCCTCTCGTGTATATTCTAGAGCAAAAAACAGAAAAAAAGCATATCACACCATGTAGAAAAAAAGGAGAAAAAAGTGTCCGCGGGGGGGTTCGAACCCACGACCTCAGGATCTCTTTCTCGCATATGCGAGATCACACGTAATTGGTATGAGACCTACGCGCTGACCAACTGCGCCACGCAGACACACTGTGTCACAATGCCAAAAGAGGCTGCATATATTGCAAATAGGCTTTCTGGGGCCTTTTCCCCGCATGACTTCCTGGACCCCTCTCGCTCCGGAGCTCCAACACCGCCTGGGAGCAACCACACCGCTTGTTGCCTCGCGACCACCACTCGGCTTCCGTCCAGAGGGCTTACTCGCATCACAGCACGCACTCCAGCTCGGCACCACGGCACTGATAACAGTCGACACCACAGCCCGGCACGATCAAGGCCCACGGACGCGACGACATGGGTCTTATCCAGGGCAACGACGTGTGGGTTGGTCAGTATAGCCACACGACCAAGGGCGAGAACCGGGTGGCTGCTGCTATTCGAGAGCAGCGGTTGCGAGAGGAGGAGAATAAGGCGTCCTCCTCCCAACCCGAGCCGCAGCAGCAAGATGGGAAAAACACGGAGGGCTTCCTGTGAGTGCCCGCCAGACTGGTCGTACGACCGCCCCGACGCGGCTGAAACGTGCCACCCCCACCCTCATCGCAGCGACAAGATCAAGCAAAAGTTCTTGCTCGGACGTGGTTCTGCGACCTGATCAACGAGGGACCCACGACGCCGACTGTACATTCGATGGCACGCCTACCACGCCCGGCCCTCTTCTGAAAAGATCCGCTGCTGGACGCTGTCGACCTTTCTGTGGGTCTTTGGTGCGCCTCCCTGTCCGAGTCCTGCCCACTTTTGCTTCATGGCCTCGACGGTGTCTGCGCCGCCGTTGAGCCAGCCGGACGAGGTGGATCGGCGGTCGACGGTGAGGCCGCCGATGTGCGAGGGGCGCTGGTAGCCGTACGAGGCGGCGTAGCCCTCGGGCGAGTCGTCGGTGCGTCCGCCGTGCGAGACCGTCTTTGCGACGCGGCCGAGGCGGTCGAGGGTGCGGAAGGCGTAGCCGACGCAGACCCACACGCCGCCGACGACGCCGGCGAGGCGGACGAGGAACTGGACCAGCGTCGTCGAGCGCTCGCGCACCGTCAGCACGATGGGCTCGATGTCGTACTTGATAAAGATGCCGGGGACGCCCGCGCCGTGCTCGATGTTGCGCGAGTAGTCGGTCACGCTGTACTGGTGCGTCTTGAGCCGCCGCCCGCGCGAGTCGATGAACAGCGTCGGCACGACCGAGGTGAAGTACTGGAAGACGGTAAAGTCTGCGGGCGGCGGCATCGAGCGGCGGCAGCGAGCGGCGGCAGCGAGCGGCGGGGCGAGCAGGGCGAGCGTCAGGATATCGTAGCGGGGAGAGCACGGCGAGCGGCAGGGTATCGCCGGGGAGCGTCGGGAGCGTTCAGGCGTTCAGCGATGCGGCAGGGCGAGGGGCAAGGCCTCGGCCAGCGCCACGACGATCCACGGCGTACTCACGCTCCTTGGTAATCTCTACGCTCGAGTCGAGGGGCTGTGCGATGAGCGGAAAGTAGGGTCCGAAGCTGAACTCGTGCACGACGTGCGACAGGTTCATGACTGTCGAGGCCAAGGGCGAGAGGGGGGTCCAGGGATCCGATGTCAGCAGGCTGGGCGGCGTCTCAATGGCACTGGTCCGCGCTGCGGGCTGGGCGCTGCGGGCTCTGGCCTGCACGCGCGACTCACGCTCGTGCGCCGTGTGCTCAAAGCTGCCGTATCCGTGCCCGAGCGTGGTAATGTGCAGGTTGCCGCTGACGCGCTTGACCTCCATGCTGCCATAGATGCGACAGGCGGGCCCGTCCTGGACGACGTGGGCCGTCTTTTGAAAGGCGGGCTGCTTGTGGAACTTTTTGTTCTGGGGCCGCTTGCTGTACGACGGCAGGAAGCTCTTGCGCTTGGCTGCGCTGATGGTCTTGTCGACCGAGAGGTCGGGCATGGGCAGGGCGTCGAGGCGTCCTGCGTGTCCGATTTCAAACGTGGTGCCGTCCTTTGTGAACTCGCGCTCGCTGACGTGGAGGCGGTCGCCGACGGCGTCGCGGACGTCGATGGTGAGGTAGTGGCACTGCATGGCGACGGTCATGTCGATGTTGATTTGCATGCTGCTCGAGACGGTGTCGTCGACGTGGAACGAGTAGGCGCGCTCGCCGTAGAGGTACTCGCTAAACTCGGTCCACAGCAGGAAGCACAGCAGGCACGACACGACGACGGTGAGCAGGCCGCCGCGGCTCGACCGTTGAGTATAGATGGACTGCGTCTGCGGTGGGGCCGGGGCGGAGCGGCGTGGGAGCAAAAGAAGCAGGGGCAACGACGGACGCGACGCTGTTCAGCCGGGCCGTCCAGGTCCATGCAAGAGGACGGCGTGCTTCGGGGCCCGCTCACCTTTGGGAACGCATCAAACTGCCGGATCTGTGGTCGTTGAGGAGCGTTCAGTTGGCGAGCGGTGAAGACGTCAGTATCTAGTCTGCCTTCGATCCAATGCCGACTGCACGCGCACCTTTGGCATCTTGTCAAACGTATCGAGAAGGTCGCTCATGGTGGGCAATGATGCGGGCGGTGCGCTGTCCACCGGGGACAGACGTGCAGACGTGCAGGCGTGCGTGCGGGTGTGTGGGCGAGATTGAGACGCGAGCCTGCGCGAGGGTGTGCCGTGCGGTCGGACGGGGATGTTGGCCGAGTGGCGATGCGTTGGTGGTCGCAGATGTCGAGAGCGAGAGGCAGGGTGGTGGTGGTGGAAGAGGGTGGCCCTCGTTGGCTCGAGAAGACCCTTGGAGGAGCGGGCCAGGTGGGAAGCCAGGCCAGGCCCAGCTGGCACGCACGCTGGCGGCGTCGGGCGTCCGTGCGACTGCAAAGTGGGCGCATCCTCTCGTCCGAGTGAGGGCGAGGCGAGGCCAGCTCCGAGGCCAACCTCCACCTTCTTTGTGCGCCTCGAACGCGGTTGCAGCGGGGGGGCTGTGGGTGCCACACCTTGTTGCTGGCTCCGCCTGCCCCGCTCTTCCTTCCTCCTTGTGTCCAGTTGCTCGACGACGCCCACAACCGCCGGCCGCCTCGCCTCGCCTCGCAATGAGCATCATCGAAGAGCCATCCTCGCAACACCAGGACCTCGAGGCCTACCGCATCCACCTACCGCAACATGTACTGCCATCCTCGTCCCACGATACGCGCGGTCCCACCAACGACAACGGCGACGGCGACGACAACGACAGCGGCTTCTTCTACATCCCCGACTTTATCAGCGCAGACGAGGAGGAATACCTGATCAACAAGGTGCGCACCACCCTCTCTCTGCTTCTCGCCTGCACGCCACCCCGCTGATGCCGTCGCCCCGGCCGCCCCCGCAGATCAACACGGCGCCGCTGCCAAAGTGGAAGACGCTCCACAACCGCCGCCTGCAGTACTGGGGCGGGCAGGTGACGGCCTCCAACGTCCTCATCCCGCAGGACATGCCCGACTTTCTCGAAAAGTTCCCAGACCTCGTCTCGCGCCTCGAGCGCACCGGCGCCTTTCGCGGCAGCAAGCACGGCCGGCCCAACCACTGCGTGAGCAGCGTCGGCATAGTCGAGCGCCGGCGAGGGTCGCGAGGAGATCGTCTGCATCGCGAGCTGACACTCTGCTGCTCCACTCTTGCCACCACTCTCACTAGCTCGTCAACGAGTACCGCGCGGGCCAGGGCATCATGGTGCGTGCGACGCCCGGCCTGCGTCCCGGCCATCGAGGACCAGCGCCTGACATCCAGCTTCTTCTCCTCGTCCTCGTCCTCGTCCTCGTCCTCCCTCGTCCCCGCCTGGCAGCCCCACGAGGACGGCGCGGCCTACTTTCCCGCCGTGGCGACCATCAGCCTCGGCTCACACACGCTGCTCGACGTGTACCGCTACGTCGACGACGCGCTGCAGCAGCAGTTTGACAAAAAGATGGAGCAGCACGACGCTGGGCCTGGCGACCCGGCCGCGTTGCCGAGGGAGCGGATTGAGGGCAACGTCAAGGTGGTGCGCGGTGCCAGGGCGCGTGAACCCGAGCCCGTCTTCTCCATCCTCCAGGAGCCTCGGAGCCTGCTCATCACCCGCGGCCGCGTTTACAGGTGGGTGGGCGGGGAGAGTGCACGCTGCGGCGATGATGGCGGCGGGACTGACCTGAAGTGGCCATCATGACTGCCACTTCCGACACACCCCACTCGACCGACGCCACAGAGACTTTCTGCACGGCATCGCGGAGCGCACGAGCGACCCGGCCGAGGCGCTGTCCAAGGTGATCAACGTCGGGCAGATCCGGGATGGCGGGATCCAAGAGGTGCTGGCCGCGGCCAAGGCGAGCCTGCAGCCGCCGAGCAAGCTGATGCCCGTGGCCAAGGCGGACGGCGATGGGACCAGAAAGACGGAGCTGGTGCGGGATACGAGGCTGAGCCTTACGCTGCGCGACGTGGAAAAGGTCAGCAAGGGATTGGGAGGGCTGCTGGGAGCCATGACGAGGGTGTAGCGCGCGGTCGGTCGTCACTGGCCGTTGACCATTCGGCGTCGGTGCGTATGCGACTGTCATCGTTGCTTGTTTGATAGTGTGCTGTCGTTGCCCGGTTGATGCGAAGGAGAGCGTAGAAGCTGTGCTTGCGCAAGCCTGGTTGCGTTGAGCCCCTCTGCTTTGACGGCGCGGCCCGGCAGCGTGTGGAGGTTGGTTCGCTCTCATCCGCGGGCCGAAACGCCGGACAGACGCAAGGCGCTGCGCTTGGACCCCCGCCGCCATCGCCTCCCTCGTCACCGCCACCACCACCACCACCACCATTACCACCACCAACATCCCCCTGCCGCCATCTTCACCTTCACCAGCAACACCATCCCACCGCATCGATTTCGGCGTCGACGTCGCACAGCATGGCAGATCCAAGCGCACCATCGGGCGGTGGTCCGCCAACGCAACCCGACTCAACCTCGCCTGCCTCACCCGCGGCCTCGCCTTCGTCGCAACCACCCGCATCCCGCAATGGAGACCACGACACCGGAGCGGACAACACATCCGCCGAATCGCAAAGGATGCGGACATTCGCCGACCTCCTCCCCTCGCCCCCCTCTACGCCCCTGACCACCACATCCGTCACCATCGTCGACCAGCGCACCGACACTTCTCCGACGATAGCCACCCCAAACGCCGACGCCGGCCGGGCAGCACCGGGAGGCGAGCTGAGCTACACCAACGTCGACGGAACCACGCGCGTCTACCGCTTCCCCCAGCAGATGCCTGCTCGCTCCCCCTCTGCCCCAACAGACCGAGACGGCCGATCCACCAGATCCACTGCTGGCAGGGTCGTGACCGTGCGCGACCTGCGCAACAAGAGCTGCTGGATCTGCTCAGAGGAAGACGAGGATCAGCTAGACGTACCACCGCCATCCGCAGCTGATCCGGCCCTCGCTGCCGCCCAGGGCCGCGGAAGGAGGCGCAGGTTTGTCCATCCCTGCAACTGCACCCTCGTGGCGCACGAGTCGGTGAGTAGTGTCGATGTCGGCGTCACGGCTCAGCAGTCTCCGCCGCCCTCTAACTGCCCCTGACCATTCTCTGACCGCCCGACTACTGGCCCTTGCCCGACCGCCGCCACAGTGCCTGCTGGCCTGGATCGACCAGTCGCGCATCAACCATCCCACGCAGGACACCGTCACCTGCCCGCAGTGCAAGGCGCCCTACATCCTCATCGACCCCAAGCCCGTGGCGCTGCGCCTCTTGGAGCAGATCGACAAGCTCGTCGCCAAGGCCGTGCCCCTCGGCTGCGTCTCGGTGCTGGGCGGATCCGTCCTGATCGCCTGCACCGCCTACGGTTGCGTCGCCCTGCGCCTGGTGCTGGGCCGCGATGCGTCGCAGCGCCTCCTGGCTCCGCCGTGGCCGTGGCACTTTTGGTTCGACATCCCCGCCATCCCTTTTGCCCTCGTGGCGTCCAAGCTGCGCATCGCCGAGACGGCCACCACCTGGCTGCCCACGGTCCTCGTCTACTCGCTCAACCAGTTCCCGCTGCTCACGACAGACTGGATGATGGAGCGCTGGTTCGAGCACCGCGGAGCCACACGGAGCTACCCGCCCGGGCCCACGCTGATGGTGAGTGGGCAGGTCGGGGATCTTCCGAGGGCGGCGAGCGAAGAATCAACCCGTGCTGACCGGTCCGCGCCTCTTCTTGGCTGCCCCCCTTCGCTTTCAGGCATTGCTGATTCCGTGGATCCGCCAGGCGTACCTGGCGCTCAAGCGACGCACCTACCGGGCCGTGCTCGGGCCCTTTCTACGTAAGCGCCGCGCCGAACGACGGAACAACGGCGGCGCCAGCAGCGGCGGCGGCGGCGCTGCTGCTCCGGGCATCCGGCGCCGGCGAGTCGTCGTGGTGGGCGACGACAACTACCTTCAGGA